GTGTGGGAGAGAGAGAGAGAGAGAGAGAGAGAGAGAGAGAGAGAGAGAGAGAGAGAGAGAGAGAGAGAGTCCAGGAAGAATGATCACAGCACTCAAAAAGTTGTATCAGGTTGGAGATGGAAAGTTGCATCAGAGAACACATGGATAACCTTTAAAATCGTCAATGTGTTGTACAACGCTGGAGAGCCAGATTCAACATTTTCATAGCCCGTGAGGGACATACTCCTACAAAGGTCACAACAAGATAATGACATGGCAAGGTTGTCAGACAATAATAATACTTATGGCCTTCTGCGTTCACTGCCGGCCCAGGCCAAAAAGTGTCATGGCCTTACCGCGTAAAACTGGTATGAGCCCGACTTAGCTTCAGGCAAACACTCTGCTAGTGTTTTAACAACCACTTCACATTTTCCTGATTTACCAATTCTTGCGGTTGAAATCACTACTCTCCTCCACATCTATGCATTCAGTACACACAGGTAATTGACTTCCACCCTGTCCAGCATTGCTCCCCTTCCATCCACAATCCAACTAACCTCTGCCTGTGTTATATTGGTCGTGTTGTGATACTTCGGCAAACTCAGCATTGCCGCATTCGTAGATGAGGACAGTAAATGGACGATACACATATGCTCTCAGGAGTCAGTACCATTTTTTCAAATCTTTTTTCTCAGTGCGGGTCAAAATTGCTGGTGGTTCAAATCTCAGTACCGTTTAAATTTAAACCACCAGCAATTTTGACCCTTCCCATGCAGAGCCGGGAAGCGTCCTGAGCGCCCGAAAAACAAAAAAGAACTGGTGCATCACTTCTTTTGGCTGGTGCTGCCAGGTGTCTAGCTCTGGCAAGCCAACCCCCCAAACTTGCGGTGCGTGTACGGCCACATCAAAGAAAATGGCTGGGAAACTTACTGGTGGTTTAACCTTGGCTCCCCCTTCTCTTGGACTGGTCGATTTCCAGCTCCACCAAACGATCCCCTGGAGACAAACGCTCATACAACCCAACCAACTTTATAAGACTGCTCTAGAATGCAGGCCGATGTTAGCCCCTACTGAATATGAGAGTTTGAATGAACAACGTTCACCCGACAAACACAAAATATATTCGATCCATGTCAACCCGACAACTCAAAACACACGAGGGGCCAAGAAAGGAGCCGTTACGTGCATGCACTGATAATCGCATGCCCAAACTTATGCCAGAGTAAGCTTGAGAAAAAGTTTGCTAAACACTGAGCAGTCATCACATTGACCTCTTCAATTCTGATTGAGCAGCGTCCCGACAGCGAAGAGCGAGGGCCTCGTTCAATACATCTCCAGACTGCAGGGCATAAAACATTGGACAAACGAAGCTTAGGAAAACAAAAGAAAAAGGGAAGAACGAAGCTATCAATCAGGTGGTGAGAGCGAAACAGAAAAAACGAAACCAAAATAACGAGCAAGAAACCTTAACGCCATGCGCATTGCACATGAATAATAGACGAGAAGTGTACTACAGGGCATAAACATTGGACAAATGAAGCTTACAAAAAAAAAACAAAAAAAAACAGGAAGACCGAAGCCATCAATCAGGAGGCGAGAGCGAAATAGAAAATACACAAACCAAAATAATGAGCAAGAAACCTTAAAACCATGCACGTTGCACATGAATAATAGATGGCAATAGGTAGACAGAGTTACCAAAGATCCAATGCATTATGAAGCCACCTTTCCTCCCATCGGGCTTCCCGATTGCCAGTCCATTCGCTTCCATGAATGACGGTGAAGGCGACAACCTGTCTCTTATACACATCTAGATGTGTATAAGAGACAGTAGGTAGACAGAGTTACCAAAGATCCAATGCATTATGAAGCCACCTTTCCTCCCATCGGGCTTCCCGATTGCCAGTCCATTCGCTTCCATGAATGACGGTGAAGGCGACAACTGCACGCTACCTCTGCTGGGCATGCACACCCACGATATGGGTGGGCAAAAGCATATATCCACTGTCCTACCCCGATACTTACCACCCCCCCCCCCCCCCCCAAAAAAAAAAAACAACAGCAAAAACAGAAGAAAAAGAACCTCAGCTGCAATCCACCACTTTAGCACGCAACAACAAGCCTCCCGTTGGCTGCGCATTTTCTTCTCAAGAGAGGAGCTCCACCAACCCACTAGCTGTCACTCACCCAACCACTCCGAGTGGTCGCTTAAACTCGCTTTCTCCTTGAGAAGAAGAGCGCCTATTCTGTCCTCAGAGCAGCACTCTGCCTCAAAGACAATTCACGAAATCCGTACAGGGATGGCATTCCGGCATCAGTCTTCAGAGACACCACCAACGATTGACAGACAGAGCAACCAGCCAAGTAGGTGAGGAGAAAGGGTGCAATCATATCTTTGTCAGCAGCCAGCTGTAGACCAGTAAGAGTTATGCTGCCAGGAACAGCATACATAGGTCTTTGGAAAGCGACCCTCAGAAGCAAAACATATTGATACAAAAAAGCCCCTACAAGAAGATGGGCTCGTGTACCTACAGGAATTCTCTTAAAAAGAAAAAAAAAAAGTGTACCTACTGGAAGGAAAAATACTTACGAGAAAGGAAGTGGACCAAATTCAGTGTACCGCATATCAGTCTATGCGGAGATCCAGCAGACGGCTCGAGAACATTACTCATGTCTGAGAAAATAGAAGCGGCCATGAAACTGTGAGTACATAACAAACATTTTCGTGTAAAAAAATACTGAACTGGTCATCATTGACAACTGAATAAGCATACCAGTAATGCTACCATTACTACTCGTGGAAAACAAACAGATACAACAAGCTACTCAGTTCAACCGGTGCTGACCAGCCCTGGCGAACCCATCACAGACATGGCCAGAAAAGATCCAAGGAGAAAAACAGGTGGATGAAATTTCCACACCCTTCTCGATTTGATCGTTAACCTCTCGCTGCCAGACTGCATCTCCTGCATTAAATATCTCCAAACAGGGACCCCTCCCTGCTATCTCCCTCTAGTGTATAGGATCCAGATCCTGACCTTGCCAACCCACAATACTATGCCGGATATCTATTGACTTCGTCATTGCTGCCAGCAAACACTTATGACGTTTGCTTTGGTGCTGTGTGCACAGAAGAGACAATTCCGATTGGGGACTGCTGGGACTTGCAGGATTTCCGTAGCTACCAGGCAATGTCACTGGCATGACAACCGACAACTGGTCCACCATCGGTTGACCCATCAAACAGTACACCGATGATATTCATCCCCTCTTTCGATCACTTTGCTGATGCCTGAAATTCCAGAACAGTGCCCCACCCACATCCACACCTTGTTTTCGTGTGCTTCAATTCCCACAAATGCCGCTGCCATGACTGCTCCGTCTTTTCTGCAGTAGACACAACTCCCACGCCGGACTGTTCCGCTTCGCAAACTACTCACCCAGCCCTTACCATCCCAGCCAAACAAGTCTCAACCCTGAAAAGGATCAATTGGCAAAAATCACGCCTCGCAAGTTCCTCTGCTGGTCAAGATTCTTGGCGCTCTTTCTTCCGATGCCACCATTCCCTCTTCTCATCATTGCAACAAATTCATTGTAGTCTATTCTCCCATCCTGCCAGGGAATAAACACAAATTCACGACAGGTGGCAACACATCAGAATTTTCTTTTCTTTTCTTTTTGGGTGAAAACCCCGTTTTCTTTTGGTTAGTAATGCTGGAAATTGGGTCCAGCGCAACACATCAGAAAATTTTCTTTTTTTCAGAAGGTTCAAGGTTGTGAGGGGTGTCGGGGACAGTGCTGGGAGAGGATGTCCATCAGGCGGCTGGATGCACCGAGTTCAGCCTGCCTGATGGCACAGTGGACCCACCCGCGTACACAAAGGACCCTCAAGCCAGAGCACACAACCTTGACCACACACGCAGGGGTACCGCCCAAAATCAGTGCTTCCCAAACGCCAGTGACGGGGTGTGCCACTCTTGAACTCAGGCTCGGGGGTCCCCCCCAAGGCAACCTGCCAGGAGGCTGAAAGTGGCACCCTGTTACCTGTCACCAAAGAAGACTGTCCTAGACCTGCTAGGAGTGCAGCCCTCCCCGACAGAGACCACCCCTTCCCCCACACCATCCCCCCATGAACCCGCACAACCCAAGGGGGGCGTACAAGTGGCCACGTCGGTCGACACCCACTCTCCCAGAAATGTGCATGGTGGACGGCATCGATGCAGCAGCTTTTGATGGCTGGATCACACAGTTCGAGTATGAGTATATACCTCCTGTGCGCATGAATCGGCGCTGGTGCTCTACCACTGAGCATAAGACCACTTGCTTGTCCTAAGATGCCCCTGGCCTGCGTCTGTTGATCCCCTTCGGCTTAGTGCGCAGAGTTGTGGGTTCGAAAATTCGAACCCACAACCTCGTTCCGCAATGTGCATTTCGACACCAGTGCTCTACTCACTAACCTACAGCCATGGGCGCAACACATCGGAACTGAACACGCTCGATGCCACTTTTTGAGGGATGGAATCATTGTTATCTGTGCCACAAATTCATTGTAGGCAATTCTCCCATCCTGCCAGGGAAATTGATCACACAGTGCACACACTCAAAACATGACGCAAAACATTAAAATTTAAAATGGAACAAAAACTGGATCCTAATTCCGTATTGATGAATTGATTGCAAGCAGACGTCATTCTACGTTGTGCTCCACAAATTTCCCATAATAAATGGTGAGCCTCCACAGCATGGTAACCGTCCGGACGTCTGGACCGGGTTCCAGACATTCCGGTGACCGGTGACCGGTGTCTGGTCCTTGTGTCCGGATGGAGGCCCCTGGGGCAAAAAAAAAAAAAAAAAGAACGGGGCGGCCCAGGACGTTTATCGGGTCCTGGCCGCCCCTTGAAAAATAATGGGGTGATTTTTCGGTGTCTTTTCACACCACCGGACAGGGCCTAGAGGTCCGGACAGAAGACACTGCAGGTTTTTGGGGTGGCGGGTTTCGCACAGGCCAGAGCAATTTCAAAGCGGCCGTTTCGACGTGGCGCCCGCCTCTGTTGCCCGTTGGGGGAAAAGAAAGAAAGTGAGTGAGAGAGAGAGAGAGAGAGAGAGAGAGAGAGAGAGAGAGAGAGAGAGAGAGAGAGAGAGAGAGAGAGAGAGAGAGAGAGNGAGAGAGAGAGAGAGAGAGAGAGAGAGAGAGAGAGAGAGAGAGAGAGAGAGAGAGAGCACTGACAGTGCTGCCAGTCTGAAGACTCTGACGTTCTGAATTGAACTGCAAAGTTCGAACTTTTAAGTTATGTATGAAGTTATGGACTTGAGACTCTGACGTTCTGAATTGAACTGCAAAGTTCGAACTTTTACGTTATATATGAAGTCATGAACTTCATGTCTCGTGCCTGCTTTGCACTTTTACGTTATAAATCCAAACTTCAGAGTTCAAAGTTAATCACACTTTTTTCAAAAAAAGATTGTGTTTCTTTAGTCTCGTGCCTGCTTTGCACTGTTTGCAACTCTGCATGTCTGCTAGTTAAATATGGTGGTTGATTTGCTGCAAGACACGTGCTCTGCTGTCTGAAGTACAGAGTGCAAAGCAGGCCAACCCCCCCCCCCCAGGAAGGTCCCATTGCAGCTCAGTCCCCGGGAAGGCCCGTGGCAGACTGAATCTCTGTCCGCCATCTGGTCTAGGGATTGTAGCTTCAAGAACCGCACGCTGTGTTTGACAGCTCCTTAACATTTTTTGTTTGTTTGTTTTTTTCCTTTTGTCTGAGCCGAGCACAGGTGCTGTCTGAAACAAGGAATTTGCATTTTGGCTGTGGAGCCCCGATTTCCTTAGAGGAAGGAGAACCCTTGAAGCAAGTCAAGTGGGCAATTCATCATGGAGCTTGTCGCCTATGCATGACTGGTTTCAGCAACCGTTCTACAAAACCCAGTCCATGAGGAATTTCCAAACATCTCTCTTTCATCAATCATCACACTTTCACACTTTTCTGAGACTGAATCAAACTTGATTGCATTTTCACACCAAACTGGAGTTGCACACTTGGACCAAACAAAATAGTTGAGGAGACCAGGAGAAACAAATGCACAGCTCGTCACCTTGCTGCCCTGAGCAACATCGAGAAACCATCTAGCGGCGGACCACGAGAGCTAACTGGCTATGGCTGCGCTTAACCTCCTACTTCCCACGCTAAACTTGGCACACCTCCAGTTCCAGCAAACAGCAAACTTGAGAAATGGGTTTGACTGCCAAACACTAACCCGCTCGTCACTTTTGATGAGCCGCATGCTCCTGCCTAGGGCCTATCGGTAGGCTTTTCTACACTGAGCCTGCAGAGTTTCTACAATCATGTTCCGGGTCCATAAATCGGCAAGATAAAAAAAGCAAACAACTGAAATACAGCAATACTTGGGCAAGTTGCGTGTTCAAGTCGCCCTGTCCCAACAGCCCCCCCTCGGTTCGAAGTCTTCGGAGAATGTTACAGCCCTGTACTGAGAAAGGACTTGAAATCTATGCCCGGAATTTAAGAACACTAGAAGTAGAATGAAATCCATGGCCCATTGTCCGTTCATTGATGTCTCAAGGGCGTTGACCTTTCTTTGAATGAAAAAAACAAACAATGAAGTCTATGGTACAGTGTGTGTAACAACATGAAAACTGAAAATTGCAGAATTCAGAATCAATCTCTGGGTTTACTGTCCCAGAGTTGCCTCTGGAAATTTGCAACTAATCTGAGGAGCCGTTTCTATCAGCTTAGGGGGGATCAATCCGTTCGGTTGCCTCCTCATCAGGACAGGATTGGAACTTTACGCTGTAGATGATGCCGAGCCTTCGTCTTTGCTATCGCACTAGCCGCTGTGCTACAATCCTGTTCCCATTTGCATATCCATGTATGGTGGGAGGATGCACCTTTCTCCTGCCTGTCCATGGGGTGAGAAGGTCCATTTGGGTCATTGCCCACAACATCCAGTATCTCTCGCTGCCCGCACCACTTAAGTTACCAGTTTTCTCCAGGCACCTTCTGGAAATTTGTCTATGCTCACCCACCACAGGTCTCCCTCCTTGACAATAGAACGCAGTAGTGCTTATTGACTTCATCAGCTATCGTCTGCTGCGCTTCCATATCTTGTTGGAGGACTTCAGCAGCAAATTCTACAGTGAATTCCTTCCTTCCAGCAGGGTACTTGAACTGCTGTTCTGGGATCAACAAGCCTACAGGTGTGCGGGGATTCCATCGTCAACGCAACTCAGCAGGCGTCAAGAGAGGCAGTTCACGGAGGCCTGAATTTTCAGCGTTTTCGGCATACCATTTATAAGAAAATGACAAGGCCTTTTTAACGTAGGCTACGTGGCTTGCCTGGCCGTAACCTAGGCTACGTGGCTTGCCTGGCCGTGCAAACCATGCAAGTCTCCCCGGGGTCACCTGCACGGGGCAGCCCCATGGAGGCAAAAATCAGCCGTTTTTATTTAGTTATTTTATTTAGTTTTTAAAAGTTTTTTAATTTTTTCGGTGGATGTTTTCTGAACATGGCCAGAGAAACCCAAATCCAGGATCCTTCCTTTTTTCGAGCGCTGGCTGTCAGGGGGGGTGAAGGGGGGTATAAATCGTTTTTTAAGTGGCTAAAGGGGTCTATGAAATGAGCCAAGTACCCGTCAAGCTCAACCTCGCATACATCAATGAAAATTCACATGAGAGTTCACACGTGAGAAGCCAAATCGAGATACTGCAAGGAATATGAGCGAGAGCGATAGACAGAAAACCAGAATGCAAAATCACGAAGTAGTCCAGATCGTCAAGTACCAACCAGATAGTCCAGATAGTCAAGTACCAGTCAGAATCCAAATAAGAGCAATACAATGAACTTGAGTGCCAATGCCGACGCTCTGTGGTCACACCAACACTGTATCCAATGTCGCCCCTACTGTGTGGTGCTCAGCGCCCAGCCTACTCTACTCAGCCTATCTATCCTATCCACGTTCATGCGACTGGATCACACCGAAGTTGAAGACCAATGTACGTGACGTCAACACCAATGCCGACCACCAGCATACATCAGGTTCGCCCTCTCTCCTCTCCTCATCACCCCTCACCTCCCCACATCATGTACCTCCTACCCGAAGACCACCTTCGCCATCACCTGCCTTGCACCCCTGCAGCCCGGCTATGGCTGCTGTGCGCCCGGTGCCCTTGCAGCACCCCTCACCTCTGCGCCCGGTGCCCTTGCAGCGCCCCTCACCTCAGCACCCGGGCGCGCGTCCGACCAGCAGGCCCATGCAGATGCTAGCGCAGCAACGCAGCAGCTTGTCCGCATTGCCTGCCATGGCCAGAATGCCTTCGCCTGGGCTGGCCTCTTTCCTTTATGGCTGCGTGGGCCTGGCTGGGGGAGTTTCCAGTAGCTTCCAGTCGGGCCCCAGTGTCTGCGCCCAGGCCAGAATGGCTTTGCCTGGGTTGGGCACGTACGGGTAGCCTTCCAGGCTCAAGGTGTTGGCCGCATTCTCATCGACTCGCGGAGGTTGTATGACGACAATGCTGCTTTGTCATTTGTCCGTGGCCGCTGCATGATGTGTCGGCCTCACACGGCGTGTGCCCAGGGCGCAGCCCTGGGCTCAACTTTTCAGTGCAGCCCTTGTTGCTGGAAAGAGCCTGGAGGCTCACGTTATTCTGTAACCGACTGGCGTGCTGCAACTGTCTGAGTACTCACATATGGAAAATGTCGAAAGTAGGCCTTTTGAGGATATTCAGGCCCGCCTTCACTTAGGGCGGGCACAATGCTTGCTGGGGCCCACAGCTGAGAAAAACTGCATGTCTGTTGGGGCCCCGTGAGGACTTAGTCCTCGCAATACAATCAACACTTGAAGTATCGTCTCCAATATTATTATCAATATACAAGAATGTTTGTCTCCAGCGGCTCCGCCGCACACACACACACACACAACGGATCCCAATCAGGTGGCGGCTATGGCTTCTCTCCCTTCTCTCTCTAGCTCTCTCTACACCTTGGTGGCTATGGCTACCGTCCTCCTGCTCTACCTCTAGCCTAGCTATGGAGTACCACACAAGCACCCTCTTCTTCTTCAGGCGCACAGTGCCCAAGTTGCCTTAACGCACCTTAACGCACAAGAAGCAGCAGCGCTTCCGTATCTCGCAACTCAACAAGTTATGCGCCGCTGCACTGTAGCAGCTAAATATAGGACTTGGCTTTGCTTCACAGCCTGTCTGCTGCAAACATTTTGTCGGTCCGGTAGGTTCCGGACTTTCCTGGGACATGCTGCAAGATTTGACTTGGGACTGTCAGACCGGACTGGACTCTTCCGGACTTTTCTTGTCCGGTACCGGATGGACTCCTACCCACCTAATGACACTTCGGACCCCTAGACCCTATGGCCTACCCTACTGGACCGCCGTGGGACTGGGGACTTGTCGGGACCCTGGGACCAGGACTGGTTGTCTGCCGTGTGAATCCTTTTATCTAAAGGGGGGTGCCTTGGTCTGATTCTGTTGTTCTTATCTTTGATTCCGTGAGGAATTCTGATGTGACCCGGGCACCCAGGCATGTATCCCAGCACAAGCTGGGTGCTCGTGCGCTCGGACAAACAGCCCAGTTTTTAACCCAACTTCCCACCAATGCCTAGAGTGGACACCATATTAACAAACAACCTCCCCTTCCTGTCCCTTCTTCCGGTGAAATCCTTCTCCCCCCCC